AACTTTCATTTCCTGTTTAAATTAAGTTTTAAATTTTTTTTTTTTTTTTTTTTTTCCCTTTTGTTTCTAGTTATGCACTAGACCTTTTTTTGGCTTAGATTTTGGTCAAGTTACTGAATTCCGTTTCTGGAGATTCTCTCTGCGTGTTGTGTACCTTCCTTTCTGTTTAGAGGTTATTTCTGATAAACTTTTCTGGCCTTCTTGTTGTTTGCTTCTGTTGTTGATTAGGATACTAAAAAGCTTGTATTTATTTACTCACTAGTTGCTTGGTTTGTTTCTGGTTATGAGCATTGTGTTACCAAAGTTAGTAATTAAAAGGTATCAGTGACACTTCACTCTTGCTGTCTTCTGTAGCTACAAATTGAATTGTATTTAAAATTTTTTTAGTTGAATTTTCTTAATTTGTTGGTTTAAGGTGAAGGTAAATTTTTAATAGTTGTGTGTACTTATCACTGTTCTCCGTGACTACTTCCAAGGTGTGTAATAATATTTTGCAGTTGTGCATAATTTTTCTGCAATTATTAAGGTGTGTGTAAAAAATTTTGTTTCTCAAAATTTTTCTTTTTCCGTACCGTGGGGGAATTGTTATGGAAAATTCTTATGTATTTTCCGTGGGGGAATTGTTAAGGAAAATTCTTATGTATTTTTGTTGTATATAATTAGTTCGTATTATTTTACTGTGCATAATGTATTCTTAGTTATTGTATTAATTTTTGTGTTTAATGAATTTGTATTGAGCTTATTTTAAATTAATGTTTAATATTTAATATTGTTAAACATTACGGCAAAACACCCTTAAGTTTGGCAGAATATGTGTTACAGTTAAAAGGGCGCGGTTGTATTTCCGTTTCTCACGCGTAGGCTTCTTTGGAGGTTAGAGGTCACTGTCCAGCTGCATTTTCCCCTTTTTTCGCGGGGGTTGAAAACACGTGTTTTTCTCGTTCATAGGCGAACAGTTCTAAGGGGCAGCGATATTTTGTCAGAGTTATAGGTTGGAAACATTCTTCTGTTGCATGGGAACGAAAGGGTCTGTCTTCTTGTAGAAAGTTCTGAATTTCTGAGAATTTCAGTGGCGATTTATTACTTTTCTTCTGGTTGGCGAAAGGAGAGTCCAAGTTTCCTTAAGATTTGGCTAAATTTTTAATTTTAAGTGTTGTTTGAACCAATAGTAATTTTGAGGCGTTTCTTGGTGTAGTGTAAACCGAGGTTTCTTAAGCCGTTGCACGGGAGGCAGGAGCGTTCGTTTTTCTTGGACTGAAAAAGATATTTTTAGAGAAGACTTTTTTAGTAGATTTTTTTTTGGAGCCTTAGCGGGTTTGCTACTTTGACGGCGGCCCCTGTCGGGGCCGGCCGCGGTCAGTGAGGTGCTGAGATGGAGCGGAGGAAAAACGCGGACGGTTCTTCGGGTGGTCGACCGCGGCTTATACAGTTAAGTTTTTATCTCCGAGAATTTCTGGGTACGGAGGGTCCGAGACAGTGTGGGTGCTCGACATGTTGACGGCGGCAATTCTTGCGGCCTATTATTTTCAATTTCGTCGCTGATGTTTCTTTTTCCCATTTGTGGAACAGTCTGAACTGCTCGTTCGTGCTGGAGTATCTATTTTGCTTTAGAAAAGATGGAAATATGGAAAGTCGTCATCGCCTGAGGTCTGCTTTGGTCTTTTGTCTCCAGTTTCGACCTCTTTCTCTTATCTTCAGTGGAACTTCGAAAACGGGAAGATGATTGAGTGAAAGTGCTGCTTAACGGAGGAATTTGAAAACTTTAAAACTGGAACTATGAAAAAGCTCCGGTTCCGGAAAACAACGATGAAGATTTGGATGTTATTGTTTCGGGATTTGTAATTTAGATCGGGGCAGCTCCCTGAGTCAAATTGAAAACTATGAACTATGAAAAGGCTCGGTTCCGGAAAAACAACGATGAAGATTTAGTAGTTTTGTTTCGGTGTTTTGAAATTTGGATCAATGGATTTGGGCAGCTCCCTGATTCTCTCAAAGGTGGTACGCCGATTTCGTGAGTGACTTTTTTTATTTTGATACATAATCCTTTTAAATTTGGAAATGTTTAATACTAAAGCAAGAGTTGACATGTTAAGTAGATAAAAATTGAATATTTTTAACAAATTTCTAGCTGAGAAAGTAATTTTTTATTTAATGTTTAATAGTCAGAAGTCAATTGAACTAATTGGAGGAAGTGAATCTTTGTTTTAATGTTTAAGTGCTATGTTCAATATGTTTTATTCTAAATTAGTTTTTTTAAATGAAGTTTAATCTTCTTGAGTTCCTGCTTAAAATGATTAAGAACTGTGACGTGTTTCCCTATGATTTTTGAGTTAATGAAATAATGTTTAAATTGAGATTGTTATGAAAAGAAAAAAACTATGAGGAACTTTAAAAGATTTTGTAGGGGTAGTCTGGCCAGCTATCTTATTTTCAATAAATGTGTTTATTATCTTTAATATTGTATGTTTTTTTTGTGTGTATTAATTGTGGTCTACTGTAGGTCACCCATGTGATCCTAACGGAAACATGGTTTTTCAACCGAACCTGGGTAATTATATTGCGGTAGTAGGAAAAAATTAATTTTAGTTGGTGACTATACGAACGGTTTGCTGAATTTATTTTGATTTGAAGAGTAGACTTCTTAATTGGGAGTTTGTATCTTTCCCCGGTGTTTTGAAGAGATCTGTGTGGATATTTGAAATGTTAAAGGTTTAAGGCTTATCTCTAGATTTAAGTATTGAAATTTATGTGTTTTCAGGTTGGAGATATAAATTAGTTTTTCATTTAGTGAGAGATAGCCTGTTAAAGATTTTGTTGTGGATGTGCATAATTAATCGTGATTCTACCAAAACACCAGGGAGGATATCTTTCTTTGATGTCTTTTAGATTTTAAAAGTTTTGATTACTAAGTACAAAGTTTAGAGTTAGTAGTTTTAGTTTTTATTTTTCTGTCGCGGCACCAAGTAGTCAGTTGTAAAGAGATAAGGGTTAAATGAAAAATTTAATTTTTTTTTTCTACGTAACAGTGGTGAATATTATTCTGTTTTAATTTCATTAATTCGAAAACATCACCACAAACAATATAACTAAAAAGAACTGTATATACTGAAATCAGCGTTGTGTAGTTTCAAAATCTAATATCCAAACTATATGAGTAACAATTCTGGTTAAGAAAGTGTATGTTAGAAAAGGAAAAATAATTATAATACCAAAATAATAAAATTAAGAATTAATTAAATGAAATTAAATTAAATGAATTATATAGTAAATTAAGAAATATTACATAAAATGGATGTATACCTCTGGATTTTATTTGCATTTAACTTCATATAGAAATATACATGTTTAGAACTAGTTTTTTAAAATAATTGCAATAAAATGATTATTTATAAGCATTTCAAATCTCTCAATATTAGACAAACAACAAGCATACTTTGGCGTAGACTTTTCCACATTAAGGGCAATGAGACATAGGCCTGTGTTCTTATCAGGAACAAAGCAAATTAATGCTCAGTGGTAGTGTGGATCAGTTTTATGAAGTATCACGATTTCAGCATTTTAAGGGTGTCTGCCTCAAGAGTTTACACTTTTATGCAGTATCGCACTTCGGGACATTTAGCAACTAACTAAAGCAGTTGCATCGCATTTGTTTAGAAAATGAAAATTAATTGCGTTTTTCAAATAAAATGACCACTGCTGTCTCCGGTCATGAAACTTTCTGATATTTTGCTTAAAGAATGTTGTTGTTAACGATTGATTACATCGCAAGCTTAATGAATCTAAAATCAAGATTCATGTATCTATAAGAGTTTCTCAAAAGAAATAATCTGTTCTGTTGGCGAGTATGTAATTTGGTCATTTCGCCTTATGTTATTTGGTCATTTTCAATCAGTTTTCGTCTTATGTACTTTGATCATTTAGCCTTAAAATGGAGGACAGGAAGTCACGGAAGGAACAGCTTTTCCGTCTGAAAGACTCAGCTCTTTCTTTTTATTTAGAGGCATTTATATTAATAACATTGATAGCTAAAATTATAACTAGACTTATACTACTTTGAGATTGTCGCTGTTAATAATAAGATAGTTCATTAGAGTGTAAAGCTTCTGGCGAAGAGATTTATTCCTGAGAATCTGCTGAAACCATTCACGAGCATTGTTTGCTGTATAAGGCCAAAAATGTAGATCATTTGTTATTGGACTCTGAAAACAAGTAGTGCTCTAATCTACCTGGTAAGCCACAAATGCAACTGTCTGTCTTATGTAGCCCAAAACAAAATAATTAGGCCACAAATGTTCCATGAGCTGTCAGGAGGTAAGTTACTGCACTATTTGCAGAAATTAAGTAAGGGGATGTGTAAGAAGGTAAATATTCTTCCAGTGACTTTCTTATGACCATAAAAATTTCGAGTGTGTTGTTAATAAGATCTTTTTCTCAAGGAGATTTAAGTGTGAAATTGGATTAGGTAAGGAAATAATTGATGTTAAAAATACTGCTTGCAGCCTCTCGTACTAGCTGATCAGCTATCTCATTGCCAACAGTGGCCCCATGGGCACATGTCCAATATATTTTTGGTTTTGCACCTGTTGGAAAGTGCGTTAACAGATATTGAATATCTCTCACTAAAGGAGAGCGGCTTTGCCCTACTATAGCTTGACGACTCGAAGCACTGCCAGATATTATTATACTAGTTGTAGAGAACATTTTTGCAAATTTAATTGCCTCTCGAGTTGCCAATAGTTCTGCCTGCAAAATGGCATTTGGTTTGTTTAATTTTGCTTTCCAGGTATTAATTTGCATTCCATTGTAAGAAGAGCAAAAGGCAGCACACTGAACATATTTTTTGCATAAATAGTCAATGTTTTGATTTCCATTCTTTATTTTAATACAACCCCTATTTAGTATTTCCTCAGCGGCACAGTTTGGAGTTAATTTAAATCTCATTCATCAATTCTTCATACCGATTATTTTGAGGGGAGATTTTTAATTAAGTACACTTTATATAAAAATCAAGTTTTTAATTACACAGATTTCATTAATTATTATTAATTTTTACAAACATTATTCCTTTATTTAACATTTTATACAGGCATTATGTAATTAAACTTATTTGCTAACACCTGTTTCCTTTTCCTAACGTTTCTTGCGTGTTCGTCACGAGCTTTTAGTCGTTCTTGAAGTTCATTTAGATGTTTCTCCCTGAAAGTAAATATGCAAAGTGAGCTTAAATCAAGAGTAACACTGAATTTATAATAAAACTCTTTCTTTTGATTTAATATTGAACATTTTATTTAATTTTTGCTAGTAGTTGAGCTTTAAAGCTTTGATATTAATTCTGAACCTCTCACCCTTGTTTTCTTCAGGCAACATGATTAAAGAAATTAAGGGATAAATTTAAGCAAACGAGAAGAAAATGCACATTGAAATGTCAGATAAAATTACCCGGTGAGTCCAAAATATATGGTTTAGAGAAGAAAACTACCAAGGCCCCCTTTATGAAATCAAATGATTAAAAATTTTCAAATAAGCAATGTCAAATAAATCAGAGAACTACAGTTTTATCAGTTTGCAAAATTTTCACCAGCAGAAACAGAATGTATCTTTAAATTCACGAGCAGTATGCCTGTGGAAAAATAATTATGCAGATTAGAAAATACTATTTTCGAGCCTAGAACGTATGTCCACTAAGGGACAACTCTAATATACGCCCTAATTTCACCAAATGTGGCGATATGTGTTCTGCGCTGTTTTGGGCGCGATTGCGTGTTCTATGGCAACCCTGTTGACGTTGAAAAATCTTTCGCTGGAGCTCGTTGGTTCGCCTCTGTGTCTGAGAAGATGGAGGGAAGTAAAATGGTAGTTGTTGAATTGAAGTTCGGCAAAGGAAATATCATCATGGCCATCCTGTTGAAGGGCAGTTGGTATCTGGAAGTGTGGAAAGAGGGTTTATGAAGATAATTTTTACTGGCTGTGCATGATAGAAGTAGGGATTTGTGATTTTATTTATTTGTGAACCAAGTATAAATTGTCTGGATAGTGTGTCTGGCTGTCGTGTATATACGATAGTGATTACGTGGCTGCATGTTAAAGGCGTATGAAATTTGTATTCTGCTATTCGAAAACGCATTAATTCATGGTAAGTGCATTTAATTTTATCCTTGTTTTATTTTGTAGATGTTATGTTCATTGGTTCTTTAGTATGAATTTCTGTCGTTATTGTTGTTTTTTTAAATGTTTGAAATTTATTTTGTTTATTTGTTGTTTAGTGTCTAGTTTTATATATATGTTTTTAAAGTTGAAACAGGATGCTGTGTACATGGTATTCTTTGAAATTTATGTTATGTTTAATTTATTAAAGCGAGGTGTGCGTAGTTTGTAGATTCGTTCGTTGCCTGCGTTGTTGCAATTCGTAGATGTTTTTTAAGTTAAAACATGTCGCGTGTAACATGGATCTTGTCAAATATTTTTGGTTAGAAACTTTACGTTTTTGCTATCTAAATTTTTTGTTTTTGTTCCAATTTTTAGCTAAAGTGGTGTGTTCAAAACGTAGTTTTTGCATGTGCGAAAACCGCGTTTTGGAGACATTTTAGGCTAAAAGTTCAAAATGTAGACAAAAAATTTAGATAATAATATGCAAGCGTGAAGTTTCTCGCCAAAAATATTTGGCGAGAAATTTGGCGACTTGAGGGCGCATATCAGAGTAGTTCCTAAACTAAAAATTATTCCTTGAATGTACGAATATATTTTATTCAATTTATGAATTATAAAACATTTCAACTGACTATTCTAGATATTTTAATATTTGTTGGAGTAATTTTTTCTTCGTTTGAAAGCACCGACAAACACGAGTGGCGTATGGCACCGCAGATAATTGGGATTAGAAAGTCTAGGAGATAATGATGCCATTTACAAAAGCTGTAAGCAGTTTCTCCCCTTGTTGATCTTCTGCTGGTTACTTGGTATTTTATGTATTTAAAATTTTTGCTATATGAGTAAGTTTTGATTTGTATTTGTGAGTTACATTTTAGTGCTTAGGTTATTGAAGAAAAGTAATCTCGCTGACTGAAAGGTTAAGCGGAATTTCCATCTTTCAAGTAATACCACGGAACCGATTTTTTGTTTCTTTATAAAAAAAAAATCTAAAGTGTCAGTTTCGATTGTTCATTAATTATGACAGTGGTCTTTCGCCTCTGTTATATGATATGTTACTATTAAAGCCATTTACATTTTATGTCCGTACTGCTGTGGTGCTTTTTCAAGGTCATCAGTGAAATAAAGGAACATCTTGAACGAACACTGAAATTTTATTTAGACGCTGATAAAGCAATTTTTATCTTCCGCCACATAAATTAAACTAATTTTTGACATACGCAATTGATTTTATCAGCTGCCTGTGTCTGGGTTTACTCATGATGTATTTATTAGGTTCAAAGTAAAAAATTCATCATAAAGAGCCCAATATTTTGATTGATATACTATATTAAGTTATGTTATATAAATGCAAAATTTTATGTAATTTATTTTGTAAATTATATTGTAATTATCTGTAAAAAATTAAGGGAAAAATATTAATTAAATTTCATTTCTGTTACAATCCTGGCATTTTAAGTGCGTATTTCCGGTTACCTTGATTAGCTAGCAAAGGAAAGTTGTCCTGTCTCTAAATTATGTGGCGACGAGTACAATATCTGCGATAGCATCAAGTGTTTTCAGGTTGCAGGGAATAATCTTGAAGATTAAATATAGGCTATTACTGGCTACCTTTGGTTATAAACCACTTGGTTTATGGTGTTCCGAATCATAAAAATACTTCCCGTAATACTGAAATAATTAAATGAATAAATAATATTGGAGCTGAGAATAGTAGGAAAACTGAAGCGAACGTTTTACTCATTTTCTCATATTTCTTCCTGTATTCTTTTGCGTATTTCTACAGGAACACGATGAATCACAAAATAGGCATATGTTTTATTTATTTCTGCATTCAACCACCAATACGTTTTTTCTGTCCCTTTGTGGAGGTTATCGTAGTAAAGTGAAACAAAATTAATTACAAATTCTTTGTTATGCCTAATCAAAGCGAAAAATAAGAATATAAAAATAGGTGGGTGTTTCCAGTATCGCCTTTTATGAAAGGTGATTTGTTCTGAGATTATGCAGTCTTATTTCTCTTTCTCCCACTCTTCTGAACCTCAAAAAGGACAATTAGTTTTATTCCTCGAGCGATCCGCTCCACCAGTAGCTGAGCAGTTAAAGACGCCTGAATGCTGGTTGCTGTTCTTGGCGAACCCTGGTGAACGGGCTGGCTGCATGATTAGTTTTCAGAGTTCTTTCCACCTGTAACGTGAATACGAGCTGGTTTTCCTTAGGAAGTCCTCGATGAATCTCCGGATTATGGTAATTTGGCGACCAAAGCTGCTACAGCAACCTGCTAGTTTTTTTCTGGACGCCATTTTGTTTTCATGAAGTAAAGACCATCATTTTTTTTTACTCAACATTTTTTCCAACAATCTGCTAGCTGAAGTACGCTTATACTAGAACTTTTATGGAACAAAAGTGCTTAATCATGACGAAGATTAGGTGCGAAATGGGGAAAAAGGGCAGAATCTCCCACTGCTTGCCGCGTTTTTAAGAATTGCACATACACGTTATCCATGTATACGTCAACCTATTTTCACTTAAAAATACATCCTAGAATTGCACAAAAATGGCATTGCGCACACTCTTGACTTTATACATATACACATCGACCTATTTTCATTTAAAAAGTCAAAGGAAATGACAGAATTCCAATTCTTCTTGCTCTTGTAAAAAGCGCCAAACAAATAAGTGGGCGATTCTGCAGTTTAGAAGCGAAATTGTTTCTAAGTGCTTATTAGCTAAAATCACGATCGGAATTTTCCGGAAAATGTCACATTACATGTCTCATGATCTCTCATTTCTCTGAGACAAAATAATCTGTGATTCGAACTATGTACTTCTCAGATTATTGCTAAAGTCCTAGCTAGTAACCTTTATCACCTTACCAAAATGTCGCCAAAATACCTGTTACCATATTCCAAAGATTAGCCAAGTCCTCCATGAAGGCGCATCTTTCCCCTTAGAAAAATAGCCCTTGTGCGATGTTGTTTCCAAATATATGTGAGATTAAAAATATTCAGGGTGTTTTCCTGTTAGGATCGCAGTTAACTTGCATCCTCTAAGAAAGAGCCGATGGAGTCAAAATTTCGTTGATATCCTGCCCTTTTTCATGAGCAAGTGGTCTGCTATTTACGGCGGCTTCAATTTCTCTAGAACAGAAATCATGCTTTCTCTGCTAGAGCTTGTCCTTATGTTTTATGTAAGTACCTCTTAACTGAATCTCTCATTCGTTTCCATCAGTCTTACCACCATTTCGAGGTTGAACGATTTTTAAGTTATAATCAGCATAAAATTGTTGAATTGTGGAAGAAGTGAGGTGTCCCCACAATTAGACTTCTATATTTAAAAGCAATAATAATAAAAAATGTATACTATGAAATTAAGTCGATCATGCGTATGATGAACGAGTAATTTTGTAAAACATTTCGTATCTTGAAGGACTACCAGACGATTTTCTGAGGTAAGCAATGAGGTACGGTGTAAGTGATTTTCTAAGTGAATTACATCATCTTCATGAAGGGGTTATCATTGGAAATTTTAGCGTTATTAGAAGATGTTATCCAAGACAAGGGAAAAGATTCGAACTGTATGACATGAATTCGTTAAGTTCGTACTGCTGCAATTTCTTTGCCAACAAGTCACTGCGCAATTGTGTGCTCACCTTGCACTTTGCAATCAAGTGAATGATCCCAGCTGTAATGCATTACATTTTATGTGAGAGTTGTAATGTGATATAGTATTTATAATGGGAAAATGAATAGTATTTATAATGGTCCCCGTGTTGCCTGTTTACGAGCTTCGACTGAAACATCTTTAGATATAGTTATACGTGGAACCACAAACCACTTATTGTTTCTGGCGGCAAAGGTAGGCAGTATACCATCAAAGTATCTAGTGAACCTAATTCCGCAAGTGAAATGCTTCTTGAGAGATCAGGCTTACTATCTTCAGAACATCACCATTGTATTAGCTTATCTCAAATTTCTGGTACTTGGTTGCAAAGTTTTTCCTTTATTTGAATCATGCTGAATCTAACTTAGCCTGAGTTAAATTCAGAA